ACAATGCTTGTTTATGTAACATTACACGCATTTACCATCGTACCACCATTGCTAATTAACAGTAGGGTTTCCAACTTTTTCCCCATGAAATGTACAGAATTTTTTTTATACAACTTAGAATGGCAAACAGGCTGACGGCGCACCTGATGGAAAGTGGTAACCGTCGCCTATAGACATGACCAGTACTATGGACATAACAGAGTACACTGTTTCGCCCATGATACCCCCCATGCGTTGCCATTCCTGAGGACTCAGGTGTTATTCCTCTGTACCCTGTAAATTCACACCATTTCCCACCCTTCAAACCGAAACACAGCCATGCAAACACAACTGCTTCACGGTTGAAACACGAATGGGACAGAGGTGCCCAAGCAATCGACTTTTGTACAAAGTCTCTCTCTGGTAAATGTAATCTTTAATGTAAGGTAATCTTTAGATCTGAGAAGAATATTGTATTATTTAAAAAATAATAGAATTTCATCGTGCCTCCTACCAAACTGTTTATAATTACTCCTCTCCATCCAAAGGTTGCCTGCAAGAGATCGCTCTTAGCGATAAGGCCGCCCGATGTTCTCTCATTGTGATTATTTCTTGTAATTGTTTATATTTATAATAAGTTTACTATTGTAATCTTACGGAGGAAACAATAAAGAGTATCTATCTATCTATCTAAGCAGTATTTTAGAAAAATTAACAGGATTTTTAATTTATTAAAAATTTTAAATACGTACACTTTAGAGCTTCTCAAACAACTTATTAATTTACAGTATTTTTTTAAAACTCCATACACCTCCTCACAGTTATAAATAAAATTAAAATAAATGGAGTGTTTACTTTTTAAATAAATTTATCTACACTGTGCGCCCTCTGAGTGAACAAAAAAAAAATGTATGAGCGTCTAAGTCTAACACGTATAGTGTTAAGCATTTTTATGCTAAAAACAGTATTTCGTATACTTTATTTTTGTTCTACAGCAGTATTTCCCATCTTTTTTGTGCCATGCCCCACTTGAACATTTCAAAAATTTTTATGCCCCCATACATTTTTAATTTTTCCCGATGAAGTTTACTTGACGACTCTAATCGACCAGTTGATATTTTGGTAACGTCAAACGAAATTATACCTAATAAATATTTACAGCATTTTTTATTTTAGTTTTTTTTTGTTAAATTTGGCATCGATATCTACTCGTAGCATTGCATTTAAATGGCCCGGAGCAAGAGGGTTAAAATCGCTTCGAGTCCATTTCTTAATTGTCCCCTCCTCTCCCCCTTAACTATCAAATTGCCCCCCTGTAGGGCTTGGGAAACACCGTTTTACACTAAAAAGTATAATGTAGTGAAAAACACAGTATAATATTGTTTTTAACAGTATCGTTGGCAACCCTAGTTGACGGCCATATTTAATTATAATAAGTGTAGGTTACTAGGTCATATTAACACTGGGTTATGCATAAAAATTCCTGTGCTAAGAACAAAGGACACACGTTCAAACATCTTTGTAGATTGATTATTTTATTGATTAAAGAGAAATGAATCAAGTTGGATTTTTTTAAATTACCGGTAAAAAGAGTGGCAACTTTTTTTATTTTTTTATACAACTTAGAATGGCAAACAAGCTGACAGTCCACCTGATGGAAAGTGGCAACCGTCGCCTATAGACGTGAGCAGTACCATGGACATAACAGAGTATACTGTTTCGCCCATGATACCCCCCATGCGTTGCCATTCCTGAGGACTCAGGTGTTATTCCTCTATACCCAGTAAATTCACGGCATATCCCACCCTTCAAACCGAAACACAATCATGCAAACACAACTGCTTTACGGTTGAAACACGAATGGGACAGAGGTACCCAAGCAAACGACTTTTGTACAAAGTTTCCCTCTGGTAAAACAACTATTAGCTAAACACCCCTTAAGGGAGAAGTCTATATTGAGCAGTGGACAGTTTTTTTTTTAATGGACGACAATGGAATGTTATCCCCATCTATGCTAACGGTATACGCTGGCAGTGAGAGATAATAGGTGAGGATGAAAAGGCAGGTCAGTTAGCCCATTGTGATGAATACACCTGGATTTCAGCACGATGGTTTCAAGAGAAGACCACGTGGAGGTCGACCTGCTAGGGTCGCTTACAATCCCTTCCCCCATGTCGGTGAGGATTAGGTTCCGTATAGTTCCGACTTCGAATAGGCCACTGCTTCCAACTTAATGGTCGAGGCATGGAATGCAGAGTCTTCAAAACATGACTAAAGCTTAACTGCGGTTGCCACATGCTTGCCAAGCGTGGCAACTACTGGCAGAGCTTATGGGAAAGCCTATGTTCAACAATGGGCAGTTAACGCCTCATATTGCGATACGATAGTAACACCAAGCGATCTATTTATAATTCATGGGGTCCATAGTTTAGTGGAACACTGCCCTGACTCGACTATTTTTATAGGTCATGAATTCAAAACATAATAAAAACTGTTTTAATTATATATATATATATATATATATATATATATATATATATATATATATATCTGGAAAGGGTAAACAAGCTGACTGCCCGCCTGATGGCACTGGGTAACCGTTGCTTCCTATCTTTACTAATATTAGACTAGTAAAAATGAGTTTGTTTGTTACCCCATAGCGTCTTAACGGCTCAACCGATCGCTATGAAATTTGGTATACACGTATTATATGGCATGGGGAAGGATATAGGCTAGCTTTTTTATCGCTGTTCGTGAACGAAGTCGCGGGTAAAAACTAGTACAAAACAATTTGCATATAATTACACGAATTTTATGAAAAACTTTTGAAATTTTTGACTAGTTAATGTCACGTGATCACAAGGTTGGCTCGCAATAACTGTTGATATGAAGGTGGAAAGGGATTGTTAGCAATATCGGGTCGACCTCCACATGGTTCCCCCTGGAAACCATCGTCAACAATTCTTGTTGAATTCGTCACGATGGACTGACTTACTTCATTCTCACCTATCATCCTTCACTGGTGCCCCGCCGGTGTATACCGATAGCGCGGGTGGGGTTACCAGTCCATTATCATCCATTAAAAAACGGCTAACATGCTGCATAATGATACATTATTAGCTATAAATTTACATATTTATGACAAGACTAGTGATCCGGCCCGACTTCGCATGGGTAGATAGTTTTTTTTTTTTAAATACATCTGAATTGAAAGTCACTCTCTTAAATTAGGTTAAATACATTATATAGCTTGTGTTTCTCGTATATGTACCTTTCTATCATTATTGCCATACCAGCCTTTAACTGTTCACTGTTGGGCATAAACCTCTCCCTTAGAGAGTTTTGCCAGTAAATGCCACGCTTGGCAGGCGGACTGGCAACCGCAGTTAGGCTTTGGAGATGTTTTAAAAAGGACGCTGCTGCTGCCATCTTTCAACCATTCCTTAATCATCCATTCCAGTGCCTTTAGTCGCCTCTTACGACACCCACGGGAAAGGAAGGGGTGGCCCATTCTATGCTGGGACCACAAGACAATTAGTAGCTTTCCATAGATGAGAGTTTTTTTTAATTTTTTTTTATTTATTTTTGTAATTTAGAGAATTTTTAAAATCGTTTGAATAGTTTTTGTGTTTACCAATAAACAAACATTTTTTTTTATTTTTACAATATTAGTATAGAAGTGGACTAGCTTTTAGCCCACTACTTCGTTCACGTGTATTTCAAAAGTAGGAAACCTAATAAAACAGATTAAAACTTCTAGATGTCCCAATGAGATGCTCTCTGAAGCTAATAGTAGAATTCCAAATCACAGAATTGCCGTACTGGTTTCGCTTCAAACTCTTTCCTCCTACATTCTTCGCAACTCTGGAACGCGCTTCCTGATGCCATTAAGAGACTACCGACTAAACCGTCTTTCAAAAAAAGCGTTCACGCTCACTTTTTTACTTTATCCGAGCAGTAAGTGCTTTATATTATTCTCAATTTCGTGTATAATATAGTATATGTCATATATGTGTAAGTATATTTGTTATTCATATATATTTATTCGTTTATATATGTAATTTTAGTATGTATGTATATCAATAATTACTAGTACCGCATTCGAGTATTCTGACACTTCCCTATGGTTGACTGGCAGAGAATGCTTTTAGCATTAAGTCCGCCATGCACACATACTCGTATTTGTACTAATGAATAAATAAATAAATTGCCGTGTGGTCCCAACAAAGAATGACCACCCCCTTTCCCGTGGTTGTCGTAAGAGACGACTAAGAGGACTTAATAGTCGAGGGATGGGCAGCAGCGTCCCTCTTAAAACATTAAAGCCTAACTGCGGTTGCCAACCCGCCTGTCAAGCGTGACAACTACTGACAAAACCTCTCAAGGGGGAGGTCTAACATATGTCCAGCAGTAGACAGTTAATGGCTAATGTAATAAAATAATAATCATAATATTGATTAAAAATAAAGTATTATTAAAAATTTATTTCCCTTTTTTTTCTATAATAATAATTATAAATTATTAGATAATATAAAACTTGTATTAATAAAATGTATTAAAAATTTGCAATTACAGAGTTTTTAAATGTTTATACATGTAATAATATTATAAAGAAGAAACGTTTGTTTGTTTGTTTGTAATGAATAAATTCAAAAACTACACTATTTATTTTAAGAAATCCTTCACCTATAAGAAAGCTACATTATTATCAAGTTACATGGACTATATTTTTAATAACTCTATCTGTAACAGATCTCTAGTAATATACACATAGAAAATCAAAACAAAATTTAAAGTATACCAGTCAATGTCATTAAAAAATATATTATAGCTCCACATATCTCGTATCCAAAGTCGTAGAAAAACTAATGTAAAAAAATACATAAAAAAAGTTATATTCCAAGTTTGAAAACGACCGAAGATCAGGCTGTATGGCTAACTTCCTCTACCTAATACATTGTGGATAAAAAGACAAAAAAACAACTATTAGAAAAAAAAAAGAGATTAAAAAGAGTACTCACAATTATTTCTGTCGCCGTCGAAGAGCTTGTGAAACCTCAGGAAGTCAGGACGGCCACCGAAGAATTTTCCATTCTGGTTCAATACTTCTCGGATCAATTCCAGATTGTTTACAACCAAACACGGTGTACTGCCTAATTGAATGCTGAATATGTCTCCATGGTGTTTAGCCAACTCCGTGAATGCTTGAAAGGGTGACTCGTGCTTGCCCAACAAATGCAAACTGCCGATGACAGGCAAAGGGATCGGTCCTGGCGCGCTTTTTAAAACGACGGACTTGTCAAGTTTGGATTTCGAATTCTTCCACGTGACGGATTTCCGCGCGAAAAAAAGGTATGCCAATATGGCGATAAATGCAAGGATTACAACACTCATATTTGGATTTTCTAAAAAGAAATTTATTATACGAGTGATGCCGTGGTGTGTTGGCGGTAAGCCGGCACTGCGTGGTGGACGGTACGCGCTGTATTTTTATAGTCTTGCATTTCCATACTTCGTTTTATATTCAGCATGTTTTCATTAATGTTCCACTGATGGATATTGGACTTTAAAATCATTAGTTTAAAGTCTATATAGCAATAAATGGGTAGACTGAGATGCTAGCAAGATGCTTTCCACGGTATCAACTATGGGGTTTCTGGATGTTGTTGTTAAAATTATATTTTCATATTAAATTTCAAATATGGAAGTACGGAATGAAGTTTTTTTTTTTGTTTTTATTTTTCTTAAATCAATGGAGACGACGTATTAACTGTCTGCCGTGGACAATAATGCGCCCGAATTATTTCGAACTAAAAGTTTTTTTTAATGGATCATAATGGAATGGTAACCCCGCCTGCGCTATCGGCATACGCTGGCGGGGCACCAGTGAGGGATGATAGGTGAGGATGAAAAAAAGGCAGGTCACTCAGTTAGCACATCGTGGTGATTTCAGCAAAAATTAACCACGGTGGTTTTCAGGGGTGACCGCGTGGAGGTCGACCTGACACTGCTGTGTTGTAAGTGTGCTTTTTTAACATATCTTTTCTTTCAAGTGCAGATGGTATTGACAGATTCAACGAACGCGACCAGGAGTGAGTATTGAGGGTAGTAGGCGTGGATTCATATAGTATATACATACATACAGTAATATCAGTACTGTTCTAATATATCTCTATATATTGGTTCCTATAGATACTGATGAGGGAAAACAATTTAACACCCATTTTGATATCACCCACACTATTTAGACGTTTATATTAATTTTGATCAAGTCCTTCGATTCGATATTGTATATTGAATATCCGATATTTAATATATCCGTTTTGGGGGGAAAGGGATTGTTAGTAATAGAGACTGAGAATCCTATTGCTAGCAATATACCCAACCAGGTCGACCTCCTCGCGGTTCTCCCTGGAAACTGTCATGGTTAATTCCTGATGAATTCATCATGATGGGCTAACTGGCCTGTTTTCATTCTCATCTATCACCCTTCACTGGTGCTCCGCCGGTGTATCCCGTATGCGCAGGTGGAGTTACCATACCATTTTCACCCATCAAAAAAAGAAGTACCATGGACATTACAGAGTATACTGTTTCGCCCATGATACCCCCCATGCATTGCCATTCCTGAGGACTCAGGTGTTATACCTCTGTACCCTGTAAATTCACTGCCATATCCCACCCTTCGAAACACAGCCATGCGAACGTTTTTATATACAACTATGGTGGCAAACAAGCATACGGCCCGTCTGATGGTAAACGGGGTTATCGTAGCCTAAAGACGCCTGTAACACAAGGAATGTCATGCGCAAGTAGGCGACTCATAAGAAAACTTAAAACGCCCTGAAGAACCCCACGCTATAGTCTCAAGGGAAAGCCTCGGTACATCTGACAAATGAAATCTGACAAATCCAACAAACCCAACCAGGTGGACATCCATACGATTTCCCCTGGAAACTATCATGGTTAATTCTTTTTTTTCTCTGCAATTCCTGATGATTTTACCACGACGGCCCAACTGACCTGCTTTCATCCTCACTTTATCATCCTTCACTGGTGTCTCACCAGCGTATAACCATGGCGCGACGGGGGAAAAGAAATTATTAGTAATGGGAGCTAAGAATCCTATTGCTAGCAATATACCCAACCAGGTCAACCTCCACACTGTTTATCCTGGAAAATATCATGGTTAATTCCTGATGGATTCATCATGATGGCCTCACTGAACTGCTTGTCTTCGCATGACTTCGCATGTCACAACATTCCAGAACCTGAGTGTTTGCGACAGGAAGATCCTCTGAGACCGTATTGCGCGTGACCATTCTAGTTCCAATTACTTCATGGCAGAATCACGAATGGGACAGAGGCAAACGACTTTTGTACAAAGTCTCTTACTACGCGTTGCTAGCATAAACCTCAACAAGTCCAAAACTTAACACCGTCTTTTCTGGAAACCGTCGCGGTTAAAACTTGGTGAATTACAATGATTGGTTCATTGACCTGCCTTTTCATCCTCACCTATCATCCCTCATTGGTGCCCTGCCAGCGTATACAGTTAACGCAGGCGGGGTTACCATACCATTTTCAACCCATTTAATAAAAAATTTGATAATAACGTTTCTTTGTCACTTATACGACTAAACTAATTGTTTCATTCATTCTAGCCGTTAACAGTCCACTGCTGGACATATGCCTTCCCCATGTGGAGAGTTTCGCCAGTAGTTGCCACGCTTGACAGGCGGATTGGCAATCGCAATTAGGTTTTGGTAATGTTCCAAGAGGGACGCTGCTGCCTATCCATTCGAGCATTAATTTCCTTTAGTCGCCTCTTACGACACCCACGGGAAAGGAAGGGGTGGCCCATTCTATGCCGGGACCACACGGCGATTGTCCACTTACAATGTTACTATATTAGTAAGGTTCAATAAAACAACCGTGGCCGTGTGGTCCCGGCATAGAATAGGCCACACCTTCCTTTCCCATGGGTGTCGTATGAGGCGACTGAAAGAGGGCGAGAGATGGGCAGCAGCGTCCCTCTTAAAACATCTCTAAACCCTAACTGTAGTTGCCAATTCGTCTGCCAAGTGTGGCAACTACAGGAAAAACTCCCCTTATGGGGGAAGCTTATTTTCAGAAGTGGACAGTCAACTAGTACACGCTAAGAAATAATTTAAAAAAATCTCAACTGAAAGAAGAAACTCGACGTACGCAAAACCGCGGTCAACAACAAGCATACATGTAAATCTTATACGAATTCGGAATATTACCAGAGGGAGACTTTGTACAAAAGTCGATTGCTTGGATACCTCTGTCCCATTCGTGTTTCTACCGTGAAGCAGTTGTGTTTGCATGGTTGCGTTTCGGTTTGAAGGGTGGGATATGGCGTGAATTTACAGGGTACAGAGGAATAACACATAAGTCCTTAGAAATGGCAACGCATGTGGGGTATCATGGGGGAAACAGTATACTCTGTTATGTCCATGGTACTGCTCATGTGTATAGGCGACGGTTACCACTTTCCATCAGGTGGGCCGTCAGCTTGTTTGCCATTCTAAGTTGTATAAAAAAAATTCAATGACGCTTACGTCTGTATATTAAAGACAATAGTTCAAACTCTCAACTAAGGGTGTATATTTTATTTAAATCCCTTCAAAAATGCGTCACTGGACTAGACAACTAGTGACATCTGACGTAAATCTGAACCATAAAAACCCTTGTGATTATTTGTATAAATGAATGATGCTGTTAGGCAGCGCCCTCTATCGTTTGGGTAATGAAATTCAAAATAAGACCGACAGATAGATACCCTTTATGGTTTTTTTTTCTTATGGGTGAAAATGGAATGGTAACCCCGCCTGCGCTAACGGGATACGCTGACGGAGCACCAGTGAAGGGTGATAGATGAGAATGAAAACAGGCCAGTTTTTTTTTTAATGGATGATAATGGAATGGTAACCCCACCCGCGCTATCGGTATACACCGACGGGGCACCAGTGAAGGATTATAGGTGAGAATGAAGTAGGTCAGTTAGCCCATCGTGACGAATTCAACAAGAATTGTTCACGATGGTTTCCAGGGGGAACCACGTAGAGGTCGACCTAATAAGGCATATTGCTAGCAATGGGGCTGTCAAACTCAATTACTAACAATCCCTTTCCCCCCAAACAGGCCAGTTAGCCCATCATGATGAATTCATCAGGAATTAACTATGATAGTTTCCAGGGGACCGCGAGGAGGTCGACCTGGTTGGGTATATTGCTAGCAATGGAATTCCTAGTCTCTATTACTAGCAATCCCTTTCCCCCCACCCTTTATTGTTCCCTCCATAAGATTGCAATAGTTAACTTATTATAAATACAAACAATTACAAGAAATGATCACAGTGAGAAACCAATGGGCGGCCATATCGCCAAGAGCGATCACATCCAGGCAACCAAAAATTAATTTACATATGTCCCCTAAAAATTTAGAGGGCATTGTAAAATAATATTATAAAGTATAAATGTGTACGTTGACGCTTTGAATGCGTTAAAGTGAATTGACGTAAAGTTCGTGCGATTCAGAAAAATTAAAATGTATGGACACGTGTGGGCAGAGGAAGGATAAAATTTTTGTTTTTAATAAATGAAAATTGAATGGTGAACCCGCCCGCGCTGTTGTTTTTTTTTTGTTACAACACAGGGGGCAAACGAGCGTGCAGCTCACCTGATGGTAAGTGACTACCGCCGCCCATGGTCACCCACGACACCTACGGCATTGCAGGTGTGCTGCCGGCCTTTTATACGCTGGATGGACACCTGTGTGTGCTGGGCAAGGATGCAAGATGGGCAGTTGGTATACCAAGTGATGAATTCACTTGGAATTAATCACGATGATTTCAAAGGGGAATCAAGACGAGGACGATCTGGTTTTTGTTTTTGATGGGTGAAAATGGTATGGTAACCCCGCCTGCGCTAACGGGATACGCTGGCGGAGCACCAGTGAAGGGTGATAGATGAAAATGAAAACAGGCCAGTTAGCTCATCATGATGAATTCATCAGGAATTAATCATGATAGTTTTTAGGGGGAACCGCGAGGAAGTCGACCTGGTTGGGTATATTGCTAGCAATGGGATTCTCAGTCTCCATTACTAACAATCCCTTTCCCTCCGAGGACGATCTATTAGGAAGTTTTTTAATGGATGATAATGGAATGGTAACCCCGCCTGCGCTATCGGTATACACCGGCGGGGCACCAGTGAAGGATGATAGGTGAGGATGAAGAGGCATTCACAAGTATCAACCAAAATAGTTTCCAGGGGAAACCGTGTGGGGGTCGACCTGACAGGATGTATTAGTAGTAATGGAATCTACATTATTAATAATCCCTTCCCCCCCCCCCCCAGAAATAACATGGTGTCAATATGGTGTGATTAATAATATTAGTATATTAGTCGATATCTCCATCCAAAGGTTGGCTGCAAGAGATCGCTCTTAGCGATAAGGT